TGGCAGAATACTTTATTGGTGGGCCGTGGTTTGACGGTTACTGGAGACGTGTTTGGAGATAGTGTTGTAACGTTGGCCTTCTCTCTCTCTCTCTCTCTCTCTCTCTCTCTCTCTCTCTCTCTCTCTCTCTCGTCTTTCTCTGCTATCATATGGTTTGCTGGTATAGGCCATGATCCAAAGGACCAAATGACCATGAATGGAATAAAAGTTAAACCATTTCCCTTCTTACACTGAGCATCTTGGACCTTCTGCCACTGTGATGGAAAGCCAATTAACAAACTCTAATACTATAAAACCTTATTAAACTCACTTGTTCATGAAGCTTTCATAAGAGAGTATTCTAGATTGTTGTTAACATTGTAAATCTTGTTTCAAATTTTAGTGAATTTCAATTTCATTTCTTCATCTTGATTTGTTTAATCGGCTAGTATCTTAAGTAAGTTTGAATGGAAATACCTTACTTCTAATATTAGGGCAAAAAAATCTTCCACTGTTCTTACTGCTAAGGATTATATTAGGTGGAGGTTTCTAATAGATGTCCTGGGAAAACTTTGGCATGTTTCCTCTATTAATAGACTTGTGAAAAATAATACCAAGACTAGACAAATAATCTTTTCCACTCAAAGTTTCAATTACTAAAGAGAAAGCCCATAGAATGGGAGAAAAATCTGTTGCAACTATTCAAGTGACAACTAACTAATATTCAGAATATACAAAGAACCAAAAAAAAGTTGATGATCAAAAAAATGACAATCAGAATAGAAAAATAATTTGAGCAAATTTCTTGAAAGAAGTACAAGTGCCCAATAATCATATCTTTAGCCATCAGACAAAGGCAATTCAAAACTATATTGGAAAAAATTAAATGAAATAAACATTATATTGATATCCCATTTTACCTTAGAAATAATGGTTATCATGAAAATACAATTACTACTAAGGATGCAAGCACATCTACAGTGGCTGTACAACTAAGGATAATGGAGCACAGCAAAACAGGGTGTAGAGAGAGTACTGATGCATCCTTCGACTCTCACAGAGAAACTTCCTCATACTAATGCATCCTCAAATCTCACAAAGAAATTTCCTCATGCAAGAGAGTGCCATGCACAACTGGCCAAGGTGTAGAGAATAAGAGACTGTAGAGTGCGTCCTTGGATTATTAAAACTCCTATATTAAAACTCACACAACAATGGCTCAGGGACCATTGCAGAAGATGGAGTGAACAGATTGTAAGAGTAAGGGTTGGTGTATGAACATAAATAGAGTCTTCCAGGCCTCTTGGAACTTGTGCACATGAACTTGCAGCAATGATGACAGCATGCACAAGACCTATACAGATTCAGTCAGACAAAAACTCAGCATAGAACTGGGGAAACAGACAGCAGGCTACAACCTTACCTGAGAAGCTATTGACAACTGATTACTGCTTGGATGAGGCAGAGTCATTCTTCTTCAAGGGACTAACTCTAGATAAGCTGACAAGAATCTAGTGGATGAACTTACACCAAGGGGCAACTTGGTACAAAACCTTGACTCAATAGTTCTTAACATATATGACAGAATGTGTGAAAACCTGTGGGGTTGGAAGGGTGTGTATTGGTGAGGGGAGTCTAAGTATGATTAAGATTTATTGTATGAACTGCACAAAGATTCAATGAAAATACAAAAAAAGGATGCAAGAAAAAAGGAAATTACTGTTAATGATGCAAGCAAAATGAAAGCAAGGATGGTGTTGTTTTCTAATTTGAGGAAAAAGTTTTGTCAAACCTTGACTTGTAGGACAACAGGCAGGTCAACCAGCATTCTCTCATGAAAATAGATGAGTATCTATAATATATATGACCAAGCAACCATTTTTGAAGTCTAAATGTCATACAGGCTTTATTAGTTCAAATAGAAGTTTCAAGAAGAGGCTGAGTTTTATTATGACCAGAACTAATTAATAATATTTATTGACTTTCGTGCTTTTCACCAGGAATAATAAGCAAATGATATTTTCTATCAAACACTGAAATGGAACTGTGGATGTAGAGATTAGATTTTAAATAAATTCTTGTAGGGGCTTGAGTGGAAAGCTAGTAGTGATGGCCTCTTTATGGTATTGTGGGAAGTGTATTTATGTAACAGTAACCTCATTGCTTTTAATGAAAAGACTAATATTTATTGTTCAGAGTATGGTATTAGTGTGTTTCTGTAGCATTGGGTTCTGAAGGGGTTATTACTCTCACCTAAGCTTGGTTCATTACAGACTCCTGAGTCATATTTTCCCCAAGGTAAATAAATTGCTGGAAAGTTTTGTGAACCTCAGTGTTCCTAATGACTTCCTTCTTGTAATTAGCATTTTTCATCTAATGATGAACTGCCTTTTCCTCTTCAACAAGTAGTTCTATCCCCAAAGGAGGCTATGGAAATGTAGCAATTGTATCATGCTTCTGATTTGGACTGGGGATTGTAGTATGATGCTCTGGGATCCTCTCTGTACTTTGTAAAATTAGAACTCTTACCAAATTCTCAAGAGCTGTAAGAAAGTCTCTACTGGTATATCTAACTTTTTTTGTTCTAAACTGATAGGTCTTCCAGCTGTTACCATGAAACTTTGTGCCCCTTAGAGAGTTCACCTATTTCATTGTATTCCATGCCTTCTAGAAAGAAATGCATGAATGTTCCCATGTCTCAGAGCCAAAGGTATCTGTTATTACCATCTAGGGGGCCAAGTCAAAGCAGGAGTAGATTTTGTATTCAGTAGTATGACTCTGTGTGTGCGTGTGTGTGTATGTGTGTGTGTCCCAGTGTGTGCTGCCATCCCTAGATTCTACTTCTCTGCACTGCAAGATTTATTATGAACTGAGTATCCAAAGTTTGAGAGGATAGGATAATACCAAATCACCATGTAGAACAATTTATCTTAAATTCATACTGTATCTAATTTGGGAAGAAATTAGAAGAAACGGGGAGCAGAGCTTCTTTGCTTAATTTTAACCTCCATTAAATCTTGTGATTTCTTCCAAATATTTTGCCACATCTGTGTGATTTTATTCGTCTCTCCTGGCACAATCCAGATGTAAGCAGGTATTATTTTCTAAACTACCACAACAGCCTCCTTCTCAGCTTCCTCCTGGTATTCTTGGTTGGCTATGACTCACTAAACTGTAAAATGATTAGTGTGTTCAACTACTTTACCTAAATCTTCTCTTTAGGTAAAAGACTAATAATCTGAGGAGAGAATTGAAACTTTCTATAATAGGATAAAAGGCTTTAATATGCCCTGACTCTTAAGTAATTCTCTAGCTTCATAGATTGACCATGGTTTTGAATTGTCTCTGTTCCCCTAATGTTCTAGTCCTGACCACTCTAAACATTTAATGAGTGCTCTTTTATATAGTCTTATATTCATAACTCTTTTTACAGAACATGTAAGAATAGCCTTTCTCCACAACTACCCTTCTGTAGTGTGGCTATCTATTAAAACCAATATATAAAAACTGCAATTCCTTCTATAGGCATTTATCATATATGTGGGTAACTGTACTCTTACCATGTTTTAAAACTAAGCAGTGTAAGTCCTTTCTCTTTAATTTCTTTCTCTGAGATAAGTGGCTATTTTGCATTGCTTGTATCTACAAATAAAGTATGAAATAAATTGTCAGGGGGTTTTTTGCTTCATTTTTCATTTTTGAGTGTCCATGTATGTAGGTAGTATATGCATATTTTTGTGTGTGCATGTGCATACATGTGTGTGTGTAGAGGTCAGAGGTCCATATAAGACCTTTGTAAAATAGACAGGTCATTGTGTTTTATTTCTTATCATTTGTGGTTGTTTATATGAATGGGTGGGTGTTTCCAACTGACATGAAAAAGAGAGGAACAATAGTTAAAAAACAATGCCAGACGTATGACAAGAAAAATACCATAAAGAGTCATTGGCTAATCAGACAAGGGCCCAGAGTGGAGTGAGGGATGGGTGGTCGGTTGGCCCTAATCTGGGAATGATTGGAGACTGATTACTACTGGGTGAGGGAGAGTAGGCTTTACCAATGACCTCTAGATAAGCTGACTAGACTCCAGTGGATGAATTTATGTGAAAGGACATCTGGGTACAAATGCTTGACTGGATAGGACTTAACATGTATGGCAGAATACAGGAGGTCTGGTGGTGGGGCATGTATGGGGGGATATGAACTTGACTGAGAACTGCTGAAATGTACAAAAGCCCAATAATTAAAATAAAATCCTAGGTTAAGACCAATGAAAATGGAAAAGGTATTATTTTATTATTCTAGACAGACACCAAATACTTCTTGAGCATATTCCAGATGTGACTTTAAAAGCTGAATGTTTCCTGGCATCCTAAAGACCTGAAAAAGCATAATTAGTTTGGGTTGAATGAGTACAGTTAAGCAAGCTTGAAAGAGGTACACATTATTAGCCATATTCCAGAAAATTGCATCAGAGAGGCTGATAGATGACTGAAGATGTTTTGCTAAGGGAGGATCTGAAGGGTGCATACAAGGTCTGTCATTTGATACTCTGCATTATTGACAGATCCACACCTTTGAGTATCCAGATGCAGGTATCATGAGCTCCATAACTGACCACTGGGTTCTCTCAATTCCAATACATCCCTGTTTATAAAGGATTAGCCACTATATGTTCTAGAGGTGTGGAGAGCATTGAGGGCTAGCAAAACATGAAACACCATCTAGGTTTCCTATTAATTAATTACTGATCTGGTCTTGTACCTCATTCCCTGTCTCAGAATCCTGTCATGGACTCCTGGACTTCTCAACTCTAGTGTTTGTTTTATCTGAAGATCATCCTGAGATCTCAAAATTCCTCCAAAATATGCTGAGTTTAGATCAACAATGGACCATTTATATGTATTGTTTGCGATTTTCATATAAAGTGACTATTCTAAGAACCTTGTTTTTATTGTGCAATAATCATAATGACTCCCCATTCTTTCACATTTCCATGGCCTTTTCATATCTAGCAGAAGATGAAGAGCACAAGGAATCAGAGCAGTGTGTCTGAGTTCATCCTCCTGGGGCTCCCCATCCAGCCAGAGGACCAAGGCATGTATTATGCCCTGTTCCTGTCCACCTACCTGACCACAGTGCTGGGGAACCTGCTCATCATACTGCTCATCAGGCTGGACTCTTGCCTCCACACCCCCATGTACTTCTTCCTCAGCCACTTGGCCTTCACAGACATCTCTTTCTCATCAGTCACAGCTCCAAAGATGCTCATGAATATGCTGACACAGAGCCACTCCATCTCATATACTGGGTGCATTTCCCAGGTATATTTTTTCCTATTTTTTGCAGATCTTGACAGCTTCCTTTTGACCTCAATGGCCTATGACAGATATGTGGCCATCTGTCACCCCCTCCACTATACCAGGATCATGAACCAGAGTGTCTGTATCCTACTAGTTATTTTATCCTGGTTCTTATCCTTTGCTGGTGCCCTTGTGCACACCCTCCTCCTACCTCGTCTCTCTTTCCTTAGAGGTAACACTCTCCATCACTTCTTCTGTGACCTCTCTGCCTTAATTAAGCTGTCCAGCTCAGACACCACCATCAATGAGTTGGTTATCCTCATTGTGGGCTCACTAGTCATTACTGTGCCATTCATTTGTATTCTGGTCTCCTATAGCCACATTGGGGTCACCATCCTGAAAACCCCCTCCATCAAAGGAATCTGCAAAGCCTTGTCCACATGTGGCTCTCACCTCTCTGTGGTTTCTCTGTACTATGGAGCCATCATTGGGCTATACTTTGTCCCCTCCTCCAATGACACTAATGACAAAGATGTTCTTGTGGCTGTGATGTACACTATGGTTACACCCATGCTCAATCCCTTTATCTATAGTCTAAGGAATAGGGATATGAAAGGAGCCCTGAGAAATATGTTTGTGAAAGCAGCTTTTTCAGTATAATTAGCATTTTCTATTTTATTATGCCATGTGCAGACCTTCTCAGTCTTCATACACATCATTTTCTTTATAAAATGTCAGTTGCTAGTGAATATTGGAGAATTCTCTAGACATATGTGCTTCACCTTGTATGTAGATTTTAATCTTTTATTTTGTCTTGTTGCTTCTGAAAGTCTTGCATAAGGTTCCACAAACATAGTTACACATTTTTCCTTTTCATATAGAATCCTTTTTCTACAGTTATATTTTCATTTACTCACTGTTTTGATTAATTTTTCATACTTTACAGCCTTTAGTAACAGAGTTATTTCTCCCTTCCCAAGATGCTATTTTTTTTCAGATTCATTCATGATTTATTTTTGTGCTTAGTTTTATAATAAACCTGGAGTTAACTTTGTGAATAACTTTAATAAGAAATGTAGCTGTGCTTGGTTTTAACTGAATTTTCATTTTTAAATTAAATTAATTTATTAAATTTGTATTTTATTCACTTTTAAATTTTATTTATTCATGTATTTCATAGGTTTTTTTTTATTATACTCAGACCCCCTCCCTTATCTCCACTCTCACCTTACTCCCCATCACCTCCATCTTCATGTCTGCCATTAGCAAATGAAAAACCCTACCCATCTTACACAACACATCTGAACTTGGTGCCAGAGAAATCATATCTCATTAGAATGCCAGTGATCTATAATTCTTACATACTGATGTGCCAAAGTAAGGGCCCATTCCCTTTTCTCTGTATGTGGTTTTGGGTCAGGATACATTCAGGTTTCTTGGGATGGAATTTTCACATGTACTTTCTGTTTCTCTTAAAAGCTGCTTAGAATTGTCAAGTAGAGATTTCTCTCTTCCTCAATGACCAGAAGCACTTGGGTTTCCTCATCAAAGTTAGTTATTCAAGACCTGAGTGCATGCAGGTTACACTTTGGCTGTTTCAGGGCCTCACTGACTACAATCACCCCACTGTGGTCCACGGTGTTCTCCAATAGGTTGATTCCCCACAGAGTTTTAAAACTGGGTAAAAACAGCAGTTAGGCCCTCAGAGCAGACAGCAGTTAATTCACAGGCCTCCAACCCCAGATTTTCTGAGTGACAGTTGGGATGTTTCACGGCTTCACATGACAGCTTTACACCAGTGTCCTCTACTTTCTTTTCTGAAATCTTGAGACTTCTCAGATTCCTAATGCTGCTGAGTACTGCAGCCAGGTCTTGACAGCCTCTGGATGATGGCTGGTCTGATCATGGGTGCACTACGCAGTGAACACTTGCAGGCCCAGCTCCCCTTCCCCCTCACTCCACCCCTGCAGTTGAGGGCCTGGCTTCACCTGCCAGGGATGCAGGCGACCATGCCAAGGACATAGCTCTGCTTGCTGGGGCAAGGGTGGCAAAGCCCTGCTGTTTTCTTTCTCATGGTTGAAGATCCAGTTGAGCCTCTTGGTATCCACTGCCCTTGCATCTTCCTCCAGTCCAGGAGGAACAAGTGATAGGACATCTTCTTGCTGGAGTCACGTTTAAGTCCTTGTGCTGATATCTATTGCTGTAGCCACTGTTGCTTCACCACTGACAGCCTTGTCTCCCATGTCAGGACTCAGGTTTGCTTTGCTTAGCAGGGGACCTGCTGGCTTCGGGGCAGAGGGTCTGATTGGTGACAGAGTCAAACTCTGGGACATGTGTCTTCCCAACAGGATGATTTATTTTAGAATTCAGATAGTTTTTATACATCCCAAGGAGCTAGCAGTCACGTGGGATATGGCAGTCACATACAAAGATTTAGGGTACAAAGAAACAGGACATTTAGTCTGTTAGTTGGCACCAAAAGGATTCTTAACCTTTTACTCAAGGTTATCAATGCCTATCCAGTACTTTTTTAGCCACAATATTTTCTTTCTTAAAGCTAAAATCATGGTGAACTTTTAGCTTTTAGCCCAGGAGTAAACCTTTAAACTGGCCTAATCTCTTAGCCAGGGATAGCTGAGTTATTTGTTTAGGACAAGGAGATGAGCTAAGGGTTGCTGAGTTATTTGTTCAGGACAAGGAGATGAGCTAAGGGTTGTTGACCAAGATGCTTTCCCACAGAGCAGGGAGTCTGCACTGTTATGACTGGGCCGCTTTCTCCTGCAAGTCTAACAGTGTTCTGCAGGACAGGGATTATCAGAGCCACTATCACTGCCCCTCCCTTTAGCAGAGAATGCAGCCTGGACCTATAAGTTTTAGGCTCACCTCACCCTAGGGCCTGGCATCCTGGTTTCCTACACTCCAACAGCTTGGCTCTTCAGTTATTTTCTTTTGTACTTGCCAAGTCCCGGATTCAGAATTTTGAGATAAATGTAGAAGCACCTATGGTCTCAAAAAATTATTCACCTTATATGATAAGGTTCCTCACATGGTCTATCACACACGCACGGTGTCTTGGGATCCGGTGTGCCCTGGGCTGGAGACTGACTTCCCTGGGCATGCCTCATTCTTTTGACATCTGTATTAAAATGTTTATTTATTTATTTATTTATTTATTTATTTATTTATTTATTTTATGTGTTATGAGTGTTTTGATTACACATATGTTAAGTGCACCTGTGCATGCAATGCTCATGGAGACCAGAAGAGGGCATTGGATACCTGGAACAGATGATTTTCTGCAGAATGTGGGCACTGAAAACCAAGCCCAGGTTCTCTGCAAGAGTAGCCGGTGCTGTTAACCAGTGAGCCTCTCTCCTGTTCCTTTTTATTTTATCTTTAATTGCCATATAAAAGGTTCATAGTTACCGAGTGCCTGGTGGTGCTTCCAAATATGTATCAAATTATTCCAGTTCAAATCATGGAAAGTATTCGAGTTCCTGGTTTTTCACTTAATTATAGTGAAAATATTAAGAATTCTTTCTCCTATAATTTTTGAAACACAGTATTTTCTTATTATTCTATTGTGTAAGAAAGAGAACACCAGAAATTATTTCTGCATTAAGTTATAATTGAGCCATTAACCAACTTTACCCCTTAAGTCTGTCCATTTCTGTGTAGCTTCTTTTCCATTTCCTAGTTTTTAGTTGTGTTGGTGTGACTGATGATAACTAAGCATAACTTTTATTTCTCCAAGTAACTATGAATGATCACAAATTGAAATGAGACAACTTTCTGTAAAAGGTTGTGACAGAACAAATACTGACCCAATAGGTAAAACAAAATTTGATTAGAGATCTCTACATCCTAGAAAGATGATGCCCTGTGACACAGAGTTAAGAGGTAGAGAATTCCAATGATCTTCCAGGCAGTAATGTGATTATATATATTCTTTCCATTCTGACAAGGGGTTCAGCCTCTCTGGATGTGGACCAAAGAATGGCTAAGCAGGATGTCAGGAAGTCTAGCTAATCTTTATTGATTCAACTTTGCTGAATCTAATTGTCATTTGTTTTAAGATGAAAAAGATAATTATCAACCCATTACTAAAATGTAGTTTTTTTTAATTATTTATTTAATAACCACATACTTAGAAGAAGCATTTCATTACAACAGCATTGACATATTCAATAACAATTTTCTGAGCTAAGATGCATCTCTTTCAAAATTGGCTGTAAATTTTTAGGTTTACAGTGATTTATTACAGTTATACAATATTGTACTCAGTATAAACCCTATAAGACATAAAATTAAATGAGGTTTTAACCTTTATAAAGGATCGCCATTTCATTATTAAAATACATAGTTTCATACAGAAAACTTCATTTTAATGCAATTGACATTAAGATGTTTGCGCATGCATTTCTAATCTCTATATATCTGATTATTACTAGTCACGGTCAGTTGCTTTCTGAGCTATATTTCCATTTAAAGTCCTGAAGTTTTTACTTTGGTTTAGTACTTGAGAAACTGCATTCACTCAAGGTGAAGGTATTTAACTTCATGTCTATAAGCTGATTACTATAACATTTATTATTTAAAATATTTTTATTTATTTGGTAATTTTATACAATGTATTTTAAGCATATTCAGAGCCCCCCATCTCCACCCCAACTGTCCCACTCCCCTAACTCCATGTCCTCTATTATTGTTTTTTAAAGGCATAGTAAGTCTAATGAGTGTTTTTAAAAATGTTACGATACATATTTTTATTGAATTTCTGGGCATTTCATACCATATATCTTAATTATATTTAGTCTCCCTCCCCTATCTGCACCACCCATAGCCCCACACCACTGATTTCATACAGTCTGTCATACGTAAGGTCTACTGAGTCAAGTTTGTGTCTCCAAATATCTTTCAGTGTTAGTCCATATACTGGAGTCTTGTTAACCTATCTAGCATTACTCCCTTAGAGAAAATCAACTCTCACTCAGCAGTGATCAGTTACCCATAGCTCCTCAGGTAAGGTTGGGGCTTCCTGCCCATTCCTTCACTTCTATGCATACAGTAGAAAAATATATTTGACTCTATATCACAGAGCTATAGTCATAAAAACAGCATGGGGTTGGCACAAAAACAGACATGTAGATCACTGGAACATAATAGAAGACCTAAACATGAGCGTATGTAATTTCAGTCACCTGATATCTGACAAAGGTGCCAGGTACACATGCTGGAGGAAAGATACCATCTTCAACAAATGGTGCTGGCAAAACTGGATCTCCATGTTCCAGTTTTCATTCTCTAAAAGAATGAAATTAGACACTTTTCTATCACCCTGCACAAAAGGCAACTCCAAATGGATCAAAAACATCTATGTGAAACCTAAAATACTGAAACTGTTAGAAAAAAATATAAGCAGTGCCCTACAATGTATAAGTGCAGGAAAGGACATTCTAAATTGAATATCAGTTGCTCAGAAATTAAGTTCTGCAATGAAGTTCTGCAAGTTCAATATCCTTAGTAATCAATGAAATGCAAACCAAAACCACTTTAAGATTTCATCTTACCACATCAGAATGGCTAAGATCAAGAGAATAAATGCTGGTGAGAATGCAGGGAAATGGAACCACTCATTCACTGCTGGTGGGATTGCAAGC